GAGGGATTCTTCTACTTTTACTGTGTGGCTGGGATGGGATTCTGGATGAGGAGCGAAAGTATAGGAAAGGTGTTTGGCAAATTCCTCGGCTTTATCTTCATCAGATGCTGCCCAGGAGCCATCATCTCGTCGAAGAGGGTGGGAAATATGATGGGATTTGAGGATTTTTCTGGTGATATTCCAAAGGGAATTATCATGAGCAGAGAGTGTGGTGAGGTAGGAATTGAATGATTGGGATCTGAAGGTGGCTAATTCTTTTTTTAATTTTTTACAGTGATAATTGTAGGAGTGGCGGTCGGCTGGATGTCTGGTACGTTGCCATAATAATCTGGCACGGCGTTTTATGTGGATTAGGTCAAGGAGGTGTTGAGGTAAATTATGTTTCTTAAGGATTTTTGAGGAGTGATCAGGGGAGGAAGCAGTCCAGACTGCTTCTTGAATTTTGGTAGTGAAGGAATGTACTGCATTGTCCAGGTCTTCAGAGGTTTTCAGGGTTACTCTGAGGTCAATTTTATCGGAGAGGATTTGATGAAAGAGTTTCCAGTTAACTGGGCCTCTGATGAAGGACGGAGGAGAGGGTTTAGGAATAGGAGCTAGTGATACTTGGAGTATTAATGGGCTGTGGTCTGAGGAAAGCTCGTCAAGACGGGCAACGGAATGGTTGAGAGCACCTAAACCATTATGGATAAAGAAATCGAGGATATCGGGATTACGGTTAGGATCAGTGGGCCAGTAGGTAGGTGAGTTGGGTGGAAGAAGGGTAAAATTTTGGGAATTGAGTACAGACAGCAATGTTCGACCACGAGAATTCGTGGTTCTTGAACCCCATTGTTGATGCTTGGCGTTTAAGTCTGCACCCAAGATGAAATGATGTCCTAAGGAAATGAGGAAGGAACTAAATTGGATATTGGAGATGGATTGGTTTGGAGGGCAATACGCTGATGCAACGGTAATAGGAAAGGAGAAGGTTTTGATTACGACTGCGGTGGATTGTAGGAAATCGTGTGTAGGCAGTGGGAGTAGGTGATGGGAGAGGGATTGGTGCACAATGACTGCAGTACCGGCATGTGCTCTACCGTCAGGATGGTCGGTACGGTAAGTTATGTATTGTGGTATTTTTAGGAGCTGTTTTTTAGTCAGTCGAGTTTCCGTTATTAGGGCTACGTCTACGTTCTTGTCTTGTAGTAAGGCTGTTAGTTCGTGTATGTGATTTCTAACACCATTCGCATTCCAAAGGAGAATGGATATGGGTTTGATGGAAGTCATTTAAGGATTTTTTAAAGGAGGGATAAGGTGAGATACTAGGTTAGTGAGAAGTGATATCAGTGGGGTAACAAGGGATTTAAATTCTGAAAGAAAGGATGTCAATAAGCTGGTTAGATCTGTAGCATTAGGCGGTGGAGGAACATATTGGATTTGATGTTGGTGAGGTTGTTGTTGATTAGGTACATTAGGTGGGATAGGATATTGAGATTGGGGTTGAGTTTGTTCTTGCGGCAGGGCCTCACATACATTAGTCGGGTCTCTACCCCCAAGTAGCTTGGCAAAAGAAACCTTAGAGTTCACAATTTTAGCGGGTCCTCTTCTTGGTTTAGGTGTATCATCAGGGTCCCTGGGTTTCATATATCTCGCTTTAAGATTTTTATAAATTTGGCAGCCTTTGTAGTTGGCTGGATGGCCTTCCAGGCATAGGGCACAGACTGCTGGTTCTGTAATTGGTTTATTACACTCGCCAGACTTGTGTGTTTTACCACATTTCACGCAGCGTGGTAAGTGGTGGCAATAAGACTTGGTGTGGCCATATGCTTGGCAATTATGGCACTGGATGAACTCTCTTTTTGGGTACGGTTTTTCGACCTTTACGCTGGTGTAGAAAATTCTATTCACATCGTATATTTTTTCGATCCCAGGCGATGGCTCTAGATCGACGAAAAATAAGGGCAATGGGATTTTATTCTTTACACCTGGTTGTTCTTTATTTTCTTTTAAAACATTGGTTATCTGACGTATTTTGAACCCTAACGCCGTTAACTCTTCTTTAATCACTTCTATTGGGGTTGAGGAGTGTAAATTTCTTATTACAACTCGTAGTGCTCTTTCCTGTTTCAACTGGTATGTGTGAAAGTCCGCATTTGTGTCTGTTAAATATTTTACGATTTTTCGGTACGCTTCAGGTGTGGCCGGTATTATTTTTGTATCGTTTATTCTGTTTAGGCATGTATAGCTACCTGGGCAGATTTTATTAAGTTGAGTACACAACAACTGGAAATTTCTCAAATTTTTGACAAAGATAGGAGGTGGGCGTGGTTCTCGAGGTATAGGTGCATCTTCCATTTCTTCCCTGTCATTTTCAAGCACCTGGTATGGATTAGGTGTAAAAAATGGAGATTCCATTTCTTGTGCAGACGTACTTGGCAGTGGTTGAGACACAGATTCTTGAGTGTTCGCTGGAGGAGTTCCGGGGGGTGTTAATCGCTTACTACGACGTGTTTTCTGTTTAGGCGGTGAATTACGTGGGGTAGAGCCAACTGAATGGGACCTCTTAGTTGACATTACTTGGTGATAATATCGCATATAAAAAAAAAAAGAAAGGGAAAAAAAATAAATAAATAAATAAAACTACGTCTGCGTGTTATTACAATGGATGAACCACCGGCTGAGAACCAGCCAGTTACGTGGCAGGGCCACAACTGGAGAGGGGAGCCGTCAGCTGTTATGGCTATAGAGATTAAGCCTATAGACGCTAAATCACTAAATTCACTGTCTGTAATAGTACACAGTAAATAACAACACTACTCACTGTGGTGTTAGTCCATTGTTGTTGTTTTGATGTCTGCTTAACTAGTTTTTTTAAAAAAAAGTAAAACTGAGCACTTATTCTACTAAAAAATAGTAAAACTGTGGGACACGACGTGAAATGTGGGTATTCAAATCAAGCGCATGCGCAGAACTCCGTAAATAAAATAGTTGTAGGTCACGATGAGATGAAGTTATTTACGAAGTTTCAAGTGAGTGTTAATAATTTCATAAAACGGCATCTGTACCACTGACTAATATCGCAGAATTCAGGGATCCTAATAAAAATGTTGGGAGAGCGAGAATATAGTTTCGCCACCCTCCTATAATAATTTGAAGTAAAAAAAATTAAAATTGATTACAAATAAGCTGCATGAATAAACAACATATGTAAACTAAAATCGATTAAGAAAAGTCGACTAGCAGGCTATGCTAAAGCCTATAATTAGGTACGTACCTAACTATTTTGTTTTACTTTATCACGACCTGAATATTTCTATTATTTAAATTCTCATTTAAATTCAGGAATAATATAGAAACATATTCTTGGATTTTTTATTCATTCAGACACATGTGGACCCCTCCATTTTCACGTGTTTTTCTTTTAAATTTTCTGCAATAAAGTTGAAAACAATATACTTAATAAGTATAGATATATTTTATAGAGAACGTTCTTATAGACATGTTTACAGTCAGAGCGTGAAAACGTTTTAGTTTTATTTTAAGGTTGTGCAAATTAAGAAATCAAAAATATTTTTCAGTTTTTAACAAAATTCATTTTTAGCTGAAAAAGTTCTAATAAATTTATAAATTGTAATATATCCAATTGTTCAGATATTTTTAAGTATATCCGAAAGCATATAAAAAAAAAAATTCAACATTCTGAACTTATGTCAACCATATATCTAAATCTATTTTTAAATATCCTATACTATATTTGTTAAGTTTCACAATAATTGTGTTAAGTTTGTACACATAATATGAACTACTACATTTTTTTTTTGTACATCGTCCCACCAATCAAGATGGAAAGTCTGCACCGATGGATACATTAAATAAAAATAAAATTGCATAAAAATAATAAGAATCCTTTTACACGTAAAATTGTTTCACTAAGTACACGATGTTTTACACTAGAGCATAGAGCCAATGTCTGGGACTTTCAATGAGTTATTTCTCAAGATTAATTGATCAGATTGTTAATAAAATTGAGGCTAGTCTTAAAACTCACATTTAATATACTTGCAAGGTTATAAAAGTTTTGTTTTGTTTAGAATGTGCAAAAAGTCATTATGTACATATTTCAACTGTAGAAAATCGTATATATTATTTCTAAAAGGTGTTTTTTTGTCGTTACGCCATAACTTCGTAAATTATTTATCAAATCCAATGATTGACATCTCATTTTGAAGATATTGTTCTCTATCACATGAGAAAAAATAGTCATATCCTCCCGAAATTTCTGGAAAAATTATTTTATTTCTTTATTTGCGAATAACTCAAAAAGTATGCATTTTTTTCTGGATTGTACCCATGATAATTAGAATGATTAGAATTAAATTACCTACAAAAAATCGTAGAAATCGGACAATTATTAACAATGATAAAGTCCATTAGTTTTTGTATACTTAATGTCTTTCTGTATTAAGATATTGCATTAAGGAGTAGAATAGTCTACTACATTTTTTTCATTAGTTGATATATTAACTTAATGATTTATCAAAGACATTTGGTTGTTCTTACATTTAATTTTGTTTAATAATTTAGAATATCTCATGGTTATTTATTATTACTATTATTTATTTGACATTATTTTGTCTTTATTACTTTTAATATATTTTTAGTCAACGTTTAAAAATAGGAAAGAAACCTGTACAAATATTTTGGTGTTATGTTTAATGGAATATTATAATCAACCAAGGAAAAATATGAATTTCTTCCTTACATAAAACATAGGAACTACTAATTTTCATATTGTTTTGCTATTTCTTTACTAAACGAATTTTTCGCACTGGCCAATTAGTAGAATACATATTCAGAATGGCTAACAAAAAAATTAATAACTAAGTTGCTACTTTGTATTTTTTAATGTGCCAGAAACTTCAAGACTTTTTGAAATAAATCTACTTATAATATTAATTTATTCTCAAATAACCAAAATAAAAGAATATCATTTTATATGAGAAACAGGTGTTGTATATAAATAAAAACGTTTAAAAGAAAAAACTTTATTATTATAAGGTTTACATTAACATAATAAAAAAAGAAATTTTGATAAGAAATTGAACTTCAGAAGCTACATAAACATTGAAGAATTGAATGGAAATAAATAAATTAAGATTTCACAGTAAAAAACGTGTAGATAAGGGATTAGAGATCATAATGCTGAACTATTTAGGGCCCATGCCTGCGGATTGAAACTTGGCAACCCCTGAATCAGAACTTATGTTACCCTCGTGAGCCTGGGCCCTCGAAGCTTTGGTGTCTTTGCCGACCCCAACCTGCTCTATACCCATTCCTCTGGCGACTTCGCGTTTTGCATCTCTTGGAGCGTTTTTGTACTGTTCGCCAAGCCTTTCGACATCCTTATGATCCTTACTGGACATCTACGAATTAAAAAAAAAAAAAGTTTAATATCAAGTATTTAAAATTATTTTCTTAAATCTTAACCTAAAAAAAACAGTTCTACACAAACTCAATTAAAAACTAGTTCGGAAAATAATTCTTTGCAGTGAAGATTTGATAAGTTATTTCAAAATTTCAACTGCATCCTAATAAAGATTGTAATTGAAAATTTGTTTTAAACGTCCATAAGATTTTAGAATTAATATATTTATAAATTGAAAAATCTTCATTATATTGATTAGAAAATAAATATATAAAACAATATCATACCTTATCAAGAATAACTAGCGATCGAATGTAGAAGTACAGTGGAGCTCTGTTGAATGCAGAAAATTTAAGGGTGCGTGGGGTTTATATAGTTTCAGTCATATTTCATGGGAATCACATAAAATTTCAGGGGAATCACAGGAAATAATTCACTCCAATTCTGTGATTTACATTAAAAAATTACGCTTCAATATAATTTTGAACCTTTTATTTATATTGTTATTAAATAAAGTCTTTTAAAATGAAGATAATATGTATTATCTTTTGTCTGGAATAAGTTTAATAATATTACTTGGTATGATAATTCACAAATAAGTACAAGTATAATCCATGCAGGTCAGTTTCCTAATTGGTCTCTGTAAGAATTCATTACCGGGCAATCCGGGAAGGCGTCGATCTAAAGCGAAGAAAGCGTAGGAGAATAAACTAATGTTAGCCTATTGATAAAGCGACTGAATTAGAGACATATTGAATGAAATAAAATTCAAATATTACTTAGTTAAGAAATAACTTTAATATTTTTGGGAGGCGTACTCGTGGGACAACAGAAAGGTTTTCGTGGGTCAATGGGCCTAGAACTAGTAAATGATGTTGGATTAACTTGATATTTTGTAAAGTCGTGTTTTGTGTCAGGATCAGAAAATTTTGGAAAATCCCTGTCTATTTGTTTAAACCTAAAAAAAATTTTAATTTGACTATAAATTAACTTCGAAAATGATTCAGACCTCACAAAACGCATTCTTTTAGATACCTATTTATAACTACTGTCTCTATTAATAGATGCAATCGTTATTTTTATTTATTTATTTTTATTTTATACGCATAATAAATCATAAAATATAATTATGAAATATATGTAATAACTTAAAAAGTGTATCGTTTATTAAGTATAAATATTCATTATTGAGGGTTAATGGTTGACTGTCGTGAATTATGAAGAGAAGAATGGAATGATCAGTCAGAAATAAGAAAGCAAAAATAAATAATAATATTTATTTTGACATTTGCCGACATTTGACTTTTTTAAACTCTTTATTCTATTATACGTTGTCAGTACATTTTAATATACTTTACAATATCTCAATTTTCTATCTAACTTTTCTGTTTTTCAATATTTTAATTTTACTATTTATTTTCATTTCTTATATAACTTCATATTCCTTTTTTTTTGTTTTTACATTTTATTCAAAGATTACCATTTTGATACTTATGTCACCTTTTTTGATTATGTTTACTTTATCATTCTACACTTTTTAACGGTTATTATTATTTATTTCTTAGTTCTTACTATTGTTATTATTCTACCCACTTCATTTTACTTTAATTTTTATTATCTAAATTATTTATGTTACTCATACCTTGTTATCTGGTTTTTTTCTTAGCCATCATGAATGCCTGAACTTCCGGTCGAAACGTTGGCAAATATCAAAATAAATATTAAATTTATTTTTGCCTTCATATTTCTGAATGATCACCCCAACCATTCTTCTCTTCATAAATATTCATTTTATGATAGTACTTATTGAATAAGAAACATTTTATTTTATTTTTAACACAAAAAAAAAATTAATAACCAACCATAGTGAAATTTTGAAAATCATGAATACTTTCTCACATTTTCCGTTGAAAAGAATATCTATTTTTTTTTTCATTAATTTTAAAGATCATATTAACAAAAAGGTTCAATCAAATACTCTCAGATTCAATTTGACGTTTTGAAATTATAACGACATTTAAAAATAATAAGGGTTTGAGATTGAAGACAATTACATTTTATTACTAGCAGACAGTAATCTTAGTGGAACAAGTAAATAAAAGTATTTTTGACTAAAAACAGTATGAAATGTTCATTCAACCACTAAAAATATTCTCACAAACCGCCTAAGGTATCAATTAACTAGTTTATCTAGTTTTTTGAGTAAAAAAAAAATGTATTTTTTTAGCTAATGCCGCTCGTTTTCAATTACTCAGCCCACTGTTGGGAGTCAGATATCTACAGCCCTTTTAATTATTAATCGACTTAACATATAAACGAATTATTAACATCCACCTGAAACTTCATAAATAGCTTCATCTCATCATAAGCAACAACTATTTTTTTCACGAAAGTTCTTAGAATTAGGGTGTTTTCAATCTGACGGTCGGCAAACTTTGTCTATTTAATTAGGCACTAAAAACTCGAAAATACCCATATGCTTTCAAATTGGATCGTAAGATCATTTGTTCACAAAATTGATATAAAAGGTGGCCTACAAAAATATTAGGTCGTTTCTCCTATATAATCTCGTTATTTTGACAATTACGGGGTGTGGGTCATGCCAAACGGTTCAATATTTTTGAATTCAACCTTTTTTCTCTACTTTGTGCTCAAATTATCTTACGATTCAGGTAGAAAGCAAATTGGTTATTTACGAGTTATTATTGCTTAATTAAATAGGCAAAGTTTGCCGATCTCCCGATTGAAAACGTCACAATTCCGAGAATTTTCGTAAATAAAATATTTGTAGGTTAAGATGAGATGAAGCTATTTACGAAGTTTTAGACGGATGTTAATAATTTGATAATAAGAGGTTTGTACCACGGACTAATAAGACCAGCACTGTTCCTGTACATCTCTTTCAGTTTTTTCGTCATCTCTTTAAGTTGCGATATTTCATATCGATATCGGTGTTTTATATTGATATTAATTAATATCAATATCACCAATATTGATTCGATATTATCGAATGATATTAATTTCACCAAAATCAAATATTATCAATATCAAATCGTTGAGATACTTAACAATAGTATATTGGCTAATATCCCGAGAGCTACTAGCCAAAAAAAAAAATCTTAACAAATATATCGTCGGTTCAATGAAAAAAAGTCATTTTGTGACTTTTCATAACGAGAGGCTCTGAGCGAAAGTTGAGCCGCAGTTTTTCTTAACTGCAGACCACTGTGTTGTTAATTTAACATTTTCAAATGGGTAAGATTAATGATTTTTTTATTGATTCATTTCGATGATGGATTATTAACTCATTACTCCATAAAAAAAATCAGGAAGTAGTTACTTCAGTAAACGAAAGACGCATAGAGAATTCGTCATAAAAGGCGAATTTTCTGATGATAAATATAAAAGTTGTTATAAGGTAACTAGAAGCAATTACATGCATTTATTTAGAAATCTATAGCTGCTGAAGGACGTAATTCGTCCAGCTCTATTGAATGTGAAGAAAATTGTGCTGTATTTTTATGGTGAGAGGTTTATCGAAATACTGTAAATCATCATTTAAATATTTAGAAAGTAATAACGTTTTTTTTGTGCAAGAATAAATGATTAATATATAAAGTTAGCAGTTTTCAGACCGATTTCTTTGGCAATTTTTTCCAAATCAATTTCACTGTTAAACAGTCACTATGAGAAGTGTCCTGTAGGGTGCGCTCGTATTTCTTTGTTTCTTCAATTACAACTATTCTCCGTTACGATCTCTTATTTATTTTTTAGTCAATTATCAAATTCTTTCATATTTTATATTTATCTATCTTTTATATTAGAAATAAATGTGAAATGGTTAATGTTTTCAAATAAAAAAAATGAAAACTACTTTAGGGGAAGTATTGAAACCATTTAAGTCCTGTTAGAGAACATCAACCAGAACAAAAAACTATATTTTATTTAAAACCGCTTAATTTTACGCTGATATGATGAATTTAATCAAAATCGTTTGAGCGGTTTTAGAGATAATCTTAAACACGTGTTTAGTCCATTATATAAAGTGCCACTTCCGGTTAGCCGATTTTGACGAAAAAGTTGCTGTAACATCCCTAGCACATAAAACCCTTAAATTTGCAATTTCACTTCCGTACAAGTTTTCGTTTTTGAGCTAGACTGTTAACATACACACAGACTATTTTGCAGGATTTGATTATTTGCACTCAGGGAACCTCAAAACGTGTATTTCCGTTGAAAACTCAGATTCAAAAATGTTCATGATCGCAATACCTATCCTTACTATATATTACATATATAGGTAAGTGAAAGTAAAAATCATGTTATAAACGTTTTAGTAACCTCTTGTATGAATAATTTGCTAAATTTCATATTTTTTATGGTATTTTTTTTTTAAATTTAACTATGTAATCAAAGAAACTTTCGCGAGCTGCATTGGAGGTGCTGGCGGAACGCATGTGGCCGGCGGGCCAAAGTTTGGAGACTCCTAATTTAAAACATTGATTAATTTTCCCTTCATGAAATAAGAAAATAGTGAATTAGTTGTAATTATATTTGATATACATGGATTATTTATATACACAGGTTTGTGCCATTTTAGTGACTTACCTTGTTTCTCATCGATAAATTAGGTCGTAATTCACAAAAACATTATTAACATTTCAGCTCCATCAAATATATACTTAAAATTAGTGTATTAAACCGATGACACAATGTTTTGTTTTCTTAGACAGTAGTATTGTAACTTCATTTTGTAGATATTTAAGGGTTAGTACTTCAATCATTTAAAAAGTATTGCCATATATCAATATGCCCCTTTTTATGTTTTTTAACTATTAAATTGATTTATTTGTATAATGTGGACGAAAAAAAAAAAAAAAATATATATATATATATATATATATATATATATATATATATATATATATATATATATATATTCACAACTTTTCTTTAATCGACCTTTGAGTATTAAATTTAAACATAACCATTTAATTGGGAATAAGGTCACTTATTAATTATTTAATAAACTACTGAATGTTCATTCCCTCTATGTTTATTGACGTTTCGATCCAAGTATTCTTCTTTTTATAAGTCAACGATGGAATCCTCTTCAAAGCTAGAATTTTAAAAATAGAGCTTCGATCAGGCCAGGGACACACTTCCAATAAAGGTGTATATTACAATATATATAAGATAAAGACCGGAGACTGGCGGTATCAGCCTTAATACTATCTGGTAATGTAAATAAACAGGCTAAGTGTATATAAGGAGGCTTATGGAACGAATAAAGCAGTGTTATTTCAGAAGTCGTGTATGTTACATCTTTTCCCTTTTCCTTCTTTTTTTTTATTTCTTAAGTCCGACGACGCTTAACTGGTGCCGAAACCCGGGACAACGTCAGGGAAGTAATTTTTTTTTAAGTAGATATTTTTTTTTTGTTTGGTGTTTAAGGAAAAGGTGAAATGCCGACAGAAGGATTGATTAGACCGGGAGTACTAAACGTACCGGAAATTCCTCAA